TCTGCCTGCACGTATCCCTGCAGGCCAGAAGAGGGCACCATATCTCATTACAGATGTTTGTGAACCACAACTCAGGACGTCTGGAAGACCAGTTAGTGGGGTTTTGCTTTCATTATTTAGAGAATACTTTATTAGTTCTTGTAATCAAACCCACATGGATAAGACCTTACATATTTAATACAGTGTGTTACCCCTGTACAATTGGAAAAATAAATTAAGTTCAACATTTCTAGACCAATCTGCCAGCTAGTGTTCTTACCCACTGGGCCATCCGCCAGTCCCTCTCTTCACTTCTTTACATTGATAGCATCAAGGGAGGGGAGCCTGAAAGAGGACATAAGCTTCAACCATCACGTCATGAGCTACTCTGCCTTTCGGGGTAGCCTGCTGTTATCCTTTCCCAATATTCACCCCAGACTTCTGTGTCCTTCCTCCGTGCATAAGCTTCTGGTGACATTTGCTTCAGATGGAGTCCGTGTTTGATTTCTGCCCCATGCAAGACCCTCTGCTGGGTTGGTAAATGAGTCACTCAGTGTCCACTGATTGTGAACTGCCTCTTCCAGGACTGACCTCAGGGTTTGTTTCTCTTGTCAGCAGGAAAAGGCACTCATCAGCCACACAAATCACCTCTTAAAGGGCATTCTGATGGGGATCTAGTATGCCATGTCCTTTCCTAAGCAAACTGGCACATGTAGGACCAGTTGTAGGGAAAGCTGGAGCAGATCAGGCGGAACCAAATGGCAGTTCACAGCCTCTGGCTGGTTCCCTCTTTAGTAGGATTTAGTCCATAGGTGTGTGCTGCTTTGCATGCCCACCCTGCCAGACTTCTCTAGAACTTACATTTGTCCATCTAATTCCCTCAGAGAAATGCTAACTCCATCAGATCTGTTTGTGTAATCTATGATTGGAAGGAACGGTTATGACCCCTGCTGTCCCTGGCCTCATGCAATGGTGGCTTTAGGGCAGTCTGTAGGGGGAGACTTAACCTCCTTAATCTATGATTAGCTCCCTTCCCAAAGTAACAGTGTCACCTACATAAAAACAATGGAGCTGCAGAATAACTGATATGTTATTCTACCACTTATTAGCATTTCATTACATCTTCATACATGCATATAGTGTTCTTTCAACCCCTCTATTACCATTTTTTACTTTCTCTTCCCCTTCCATATTCCTAGGAGACCTTTTTTACTTTACTTTATTTTATTTATTTATTTTGGTTTTTCGAGACAAGGTTTCTCCGCATTGTTTTGGAGGCTGCCCTGAACTTGCTCTGTAGACCAGGCTGGCCTCGAACTCACAGAGATCTGCCTGCCTCTGCCCCCCTAGTGCTGGGATTAAAGGTGTGCGCCATAACGCTCGGCTACATTTAAAAATTTTTTATCACATGTGTGTGTGTGGGGGGGGACGGCTAGGTGCACATGTGCCATGGGAAACGCATGTAGAGGCGAGAGAATAAGTTTCAGGAGTTAGTTCTCTCCTTCCACCTTGTGGTACCCAGAGACCGGGCTCAGGTCGTCAGGCTGGTCAGTCCCTTTGCTCGCTGAGCAATCTTGGCAAGCCCCTTTTAGGTTCAAGTCATTTTCCTCCTGATTCACTCATCCACTGATGTGCACTGCATTACTCACCTTTTGTTGTTGTGATAAAACACCATGATCAAGAGCAACTTGTAGAAGAGTTTATTAACAGTTCCAGAGAGGGAGTCCATAATGGCAAGGAAACCATGGTTGCAGGCAGTCAGAACAGGAAGCTGGGAGATCCCATCTTCCACTGCCAACCAGAAACGGAGAGAGGCAGCTCTCTCAAAGCCCGCCCTCAGTGATAACCGGCCTCCGCGGGCAAGGCTCCGCCTCCTAAAGGTTCTACAACCTCCCCCAAACATCGCCACCCACTGGGTTCCAAGTGAATGAGACATTCTCATTCACCGTGAGTACCTCGCTGATCCCCTAACTTGGGTATTGCAAATAGTTCCACAATAAATATGGTTATGTGACTATTTCTGCGGCATACTGACTTCAGTTCCTTCGGGCACATCCCCAGGAATGGTATAGCTGGATCACGCAGAGGTTCCATTTTTAACTTTTGAGAAACCTTCATGCTGATTTTTCCCCCCAGTGGCAGCGCTAATTTACAATCTCAATAACAATGTGTCGGGTCCCTTTCTTCGTATCTTTACCAGCATTCACTGGTTTTTGCTTTGCTTTGGCATGGTTTTGGTTTTTTATGACCATCACTTTGACTGCCATTGTACCTTTAATTTATATTTCCCCAGTAGCTAAAGATGCTGAAAATTATTTCTACATATTTATGAATTAGTTTTATTTTCATTTGGAAAGTGTTAATTGAGTTTATTTGCCCTTTTATTAATAAGGTTATTCATTCTTTTCAAGGGTTTGGTTTCTTTCAGTTCTGTATACATTCTGGATATTTGATGGATAACCAGCAAAGAGATGTTTCAGCTCTGAGGTCTGACTCTTCATTGTTTTTCTTTGGCTGTGCAGAAGCTTATTAACTTGATGCGATCCTATCTGTTATTCTCAGCTGTTGTTCCTTAAGCTAAACAGCACTCAGAAACTCATTGCCTATATCCGCATCTTGATGTTTTTGTCTTCATGTTTTCCACTAGCGGTGTCAAATGCAGTTCTCTTCTTCAACCTACTTGATACCTCTAAATCTCTTCTGTAAAATTCTGGAAGTGTGGCTGAAATCAGAGCAAGTAGTGTTTTATAGAAGGAAAATGCTGACAGGACTTTGCATAAGAGAACCTCTAGGGGGCAATGTCATCCAAGAGAACCTTAGCACTGCCCTCATCCAATCTACCCTGTTCACACTCCCCATGCTCCACTTCAAATTTATTTCTGGTCTTTTGTATTTTGGATCACGTCAAAGCATCATTGTTCTTAACTACCAACATAGACTAAATGTTTAGCTGCGTACGGCCTTTTAATTAGTCAATCTCACAGATCAAGTAGTCTCCAGCCGAACTAGTCCTACATTTTTATTTGAGAAGTGCACCTCAGTTTTATGAAACACCTATAGGTCCTGGGTGCCTTTCTGATTTAAAGCTATCCCTTGAGTTGATATTAGTGCTTGGGTAACTCATACTACTCAACTCACAAGTTCTCCTGTAACTCCTTATTCCCACCATGCTTCTAAAAGGTACATTTCATGATTTAGAGTTGCTTGGAATACAACTGACATTCAGGTTCTGAAGTTAGGAGCTCCTCATGGTTTCACTCTAAGAACTGTGTATAGCAATATAATCAGATTTTTTTCCTGCTTGTGTGTGATAAACACTTGAGACACAATCTAAAAGGAGAAATTAGTCATTTTGCTTAACGGTTTCTGAAGTTTCTATCTGCAGCTCTCTACTCTGTTGATTCTGGGCCTGTGACAAGGTAGACCATAGCTGCACTGGCACCATGTGGCAGAGGCCACTCGACTCATGGCAGACAGGAAGGAGAAAGGACAGGATGCCCGCAATAACTCACTTCCTCCAGTTAGGTCCCATCTCCTAAAATGTGCTTTTGTCTCAGACTTTTTTTTAACTCTGTTTTTGTTTTGTTCTTTTTTTCTTTTAAGACAGAATCTCACTGTGTAGCCCAGGCTGGCCCCAAGCTAGTAGTCTTCTTGCCTCTAGTTCCCGAGTGCTAGGGTTACAGGTGTGTGCCACCATGCTTATTGGTGACAGTGGTGGTGCTGGAGACTGAATCGGCTACCTCATGCATGCTAGGCAAGCCAAGTCCTTCTAACAGAAAACTTCAAGCTTTCACCTGAGGTCCATGAGTATTGTCCTTTTCCTTAAATTGTTGCTGCCCTTTAAGCCACAGCTGTCTGAATCAGCAACTGCAACTCCAGTGACATTAGCAGTCAGCAGCAGTTAGGCTGCAAGAGCTGCAGCCAAGCTATTTGGGGAATTTATCTAAATCTCTGTCCCTTTAAAGGTGAAATTCTGCTCCTCAGAGAGGCTGCATAGCGAGTAGTTCACCTCCTCTCTTTGGATGTCTCTGCCTCTGCTCGCCTCTCTTTAAAAACCCTTCTCTACCTGGCTTCTTCCTACCACTTCTAGTCAGCTACTTGCTGATGCAGCCTCCTGACTGCAGGTGAATTTTATTTAATCAAACATTTTTCCTTCATTTTGGTTTTTCCAGACAGGGTTTCTCGGTGTAGCTTTGGAGCGTGTCCTGGCACTCGCTCTGTAGACCAGAGCTGGCTTCTAACTCACAGAGATCTGCCTCCCACGTGCTGGGATTAAATGCATGCATTACCACCTCAAGTCTTACAGATTTATTTATTCTGTATACATTGTTCTGCCCGCAGGCCAGAACAGGGGGCCAGATCTCATTACAGATGGTTGTGAGCCACCATGTGGTTGCTGGGGATTGAACTCAGGACCTTTGGAAGGACAGTCAATACTCTTGACCTCTGAGCCTCTTGTCCCAATCAAACACATCTTTGCATCATTAAACAAATGTTTCCGAGCATAAACAAAAGCAACACACCTTAAAATAATATTCTACAACACACGAGGCCTCCCGTTTTCAAAATGAACTGCATGGAACACCAGTAACTCACTCTCTCCATCCTCCATGTGAACTCCGTCGTCACTGCTGGTTACAGCTTTTCTTTTTGGTTTTTCGAGACAGGGTTTCTCTGTGGCTTTGGAGGCTGTCCAGGAACTTGCTCTGTAGACCAGGCTGGCCTCGAACTCACAGAGATCCACCTGCCTCTGCCTCCCGAGTGCTGGGATTAAAGGTGTGCGCCATCAATGCCTGGCTTGTTTGCAGCTTTTCATATCTGTCACGTGTTTTGTCACTTTGCCTAGACTTAAATTTTCTCTCTCATAATACAGCTTAAGTTCTAGAAGGTAGAGACAAGGCCTGTCTTTCTCCGCATTCATGAAGCTCCCAGGAAATACTTGCTTGATCTCTGGAATCTTTAAGATGAGGGCAAGTCGGAATTCTGCCAACTGTAATGTTACTTCCTTCCGTCTCTTATAGCCATACTTCCCATAGCTTCCAGCTGCTGCACTGAAGTTTCCCATCATATTTCCAGAAGACTTCTGGAAAGAGTGAATTCATGCAGCATCCAGAGGGCTGACGGGGACTGTGACTTGGCTGCTGTCATGTGAGTGTTCTTCACCAAGGACATGTCAACCTGAATGCTGGTTATTCCCTTGGCTAACACACACTGGCTTGAAATGCTTTGCCTGACACACATCATTCAAAGGAGAAAGGGTAGTTCTCATGTCTTTGAGTGCCAGACTACTCGGAGTAAACACACAATCTCTGTACAGGAATGCCCTGAGTCCTATGCTCTCCCTTCAGCCTCCCAAAAATGCTGGGTTGGGGTTAAGTGTTCTCAGATGCCAGAAGCATTAGTGGCCTTGCTAAGCCACACAAGGGAGATTCTGAATGGCAAGGACAAAGCAGCAATCAAGGATGACAAAGCCATCTGTCATGGCTTTAAACTGTGACTTTCCCCAGGTAGGCAATGGCTGCTGACACTTCTACTCTCTGAATTCCATAGGAATTTATGGTCTGAAAGGTAGTATGGCAATGTCTGCACTGCAATGTCACAGCCGCATGCGACTGACTTGCTCCTATTTGCTTTTGATTCTGGGTGTTGGCTTAGGGTGAACCACCTGGCCCTCCTATCACTCCCTCTACACGTCAGAGCCAGGACTGTAGGCCAACAACAGCGTGAGAGGAAGGCATAATTTACTTCCCTGTCACACAGAAGACGCCGGTGGGCAAGGTTACATAGTTCACCTGTTGTGGTATTGCCAGAAAATGGCAGAAATGGGATTCTCACACAGCTCTCTTGTTTATAACACTATTTATCTTCAGAGGTCATTCAAAATGAAGAGGGGAGCTCACCATAACGTGTTCTTCCAAGGGCAGGTATGGAGGTGTGTGCTTGTAATCCTAGCATTCAGTAGAGTGAGGCAGATGGATCACCAGTTCGAGGTCAGCCTGGGTCACAGTGATAGCCTATCTTAACAAAGAAAAAGTTTTCCTCTTAAACTCTAGTATGTCTCATGTGAGTTATCTCCCTGGCATGCTGGGTTTAACACCACTTATGCATCTGGATGATGCTACTGAGCCATTTGGCAGTCTTTCCTTTGGACTATAAAATAACATTGCCTAAGCCCAAGCTTCTGAGACACCCAGGAACATCTGTTCTATTAACAGATTTGACAAGTATCTATTAGTCAAGAACTGTTCCATGTTCTGAGGATACAGCAGAGATCAGTGGTCTCTGCCCTTCTGGAGTCTCTGAAAAACTTTTTATCCAGCTGGGTTCTACAGGCCATCCTATGATTTTCTATAATCTGGTAGTCTGAATCACTTTTAGGATTACACACGCACACACACACACACACACACACACTTTTTTTTAAGAGAAAGGGGAAATGCATTGCACAGCTTGTATCATATGCCCAATTATTGCTATTTTATTATTAGGAGAATGAGAAAATGAATGTTGAAGATTTCTCAGCATCATTTCAGACACCCATTTGCTATGGAAGTTGAGAAACCCTGATCCAAGGCAAAGAATTCTAAAAATGACAGAGAAAGAGTTCACAATTGACAGACGCTCTTCAGACTGGGGGCTGTGGACTCCTTGACAATTTACATGTAAACCTGTAAGCATGTTCCTGGGGAGAGGGTCTGGTCCGTGGGTTTTATAAGATTCTCAAAAGAGTCAGAGACGAATTGAGTTTTAAGACTACACTTGGGGTCTGAGGAGCAAACAATTATTTATCCAAGAATAAATAGTCTTGGGTGACTACAGAGGAAAACAGTGGGTAGAGAAGTCTCTCAGCTGCCTCAGTTTGCGCTGCCCAGGCTCCATCAGCTTGGATGGTTTAGTCACTGGAAACCAATGTAATCTGCAGCGGTCCAGGAAACATACTATAAGGTGTCTCCTGCTAAGCAGCACTTCAAGTCCCTAACATTTGGGAAACCTCTGAGCTAGGGTTTGAATATAATGTCTCCTACAGGCTTATTGCTGAATGACTGCTCTGCAGCTAGTAGCGCTGTTCTGGGAGGTTCGATAAACTCTAGAAGGTGGGGCCCGCTGGAGACAGGGCCTTGTGGGAAGAAGTGGATCACTTGGGGTGTGACTTTGTCCCCAGTCCCTTCCTTCCCATCACTGGTGGATGTCCTGCTTCCTGTCCATCATAATATGAAGAACCACTTTCCAGCATATATTCCCACTGTTGTGGGGTCCTCCCCAAATGTTTGGAGCCCATCAATCATGGGCTGAACCCTCTAAAGCCATGACCCTCCCCTAAATCTGTCCTTTAAATAGTCCCCTAAGACTAATAAAGTGTACTCAATTGAAATTCTACCAGTGTTTGATTTAATCTTAATAAATATCATTGGTAATAGTTGGAGAGTAAAAAAATTCATAGTTGATAGCAACTTGAGTCACCTGGATGTTTGCATTGCACCTATACTGCTGAACTGAACTGACCAAGCCTGTTCCGGCTGCACTGAGAAACACTGAGCTTCCAACTGTCCTTCTCAAGTCCTTCCATATGACTGACATAGACATATCTGTCATTCAGCCTAAAGGAGGCATAAGAGCATTTACAAGGTAGAATTAGAAAAATAGAAGAAGTGTCTATGGGTATTTGAGAGACAGAGATTACAAGAGAATACCATCAGCAATAGGATTTCAGTTTAGGTGGGGATTAACGGATGTCAGAGATCTTAAAAGCACAGGAACAAAAACAATGTAAAGCCTCTATGTTTGCCTCTTTTGTCCTTCTCTGACCAAATGCCTGACAAAAACAATGTGATGGAGGAAAGATCTATTTGGCTGGCCATGGTGGTAGTCAAGATGTGGTGGAGTTCTGCCGGGCAGTGGTGGCACCCGCCTTTAATCCCAGCACTCGGGAGGCAGAGGCAGGCAGATCTCTGTGAGTTCGAGGCCAGCCTAGTCTACAAAGTGAGTTCCAAGACAGACAGGACTGTTACACAGAGAAACCCTGTCTCAAACAAAACAAAACAAAACAAAAAGATATGGTGGAGTTCATGGTGGGAAGTTGCATATAGCAGAGGCTCTTCACATCACGGTGGATCAGAAAGCAGAAAGTGAGCCCACTTCCTAGTGAATGGCTTCCACCAGCAAGGTCCTATCTCCCAAAGGTCCCACGGTTTCCCCAAACAGGACACCAGTCAGGGAGCAGGCTTTTGGAACATTAGCCTGTGAGGAACATTTTAGATTCTAACCATAACATCCTCACTTTGAGGAAGAAACATGTGATTGAAGAATTAACCTTTAGGTTTTCAAAGTACTGGATTGTTTTGTTTTGCTTTTTTAATTGCTTTTTTATGCATGAGTGCTCTGTCTGCATATGCACATACCTGACGCTGGAGGGTGTCAGATCCCATTATAGATGGTTGTGAGTCACCATGCGGTTGCTGGGAATTGAACTCAGGACCTCTGGAAGAGCAGTCAGTGCTCTTAACCCTTGACACATCTCACTAGCCACCAAAGTACTAGGTTTTAGTTAAAGGGAAATTACGAAGCCAATCTCTGTTTTTAAACATATTTATTTATATAAAAGTGCAAATTTATAAGCTGAACTCTGTGCTGATAAACAAGTTGAAAATACAACGCACTTACGACTTGATTTCAAAATTAGATTTTTGTATCTTTAAGTGGTAAGTTACAGATCCTCTCTGTTATATTTTCTTATACTCAACTTAGGAAGTTTTATTTTCAAACAGTTTTACTATAGAAGCATACCTTTATTCTTCCAAAATGTAGTCATTTAAGATTTGAGACCAGTGTTTAAGATGCAGAGAGCATCATTTGTATTCCAATGTAACTCCCAGGAATCATATAATATGAGTTACAGTCGATTAATTAATAGAAATTAAATATCAGTGAACTCAGTAGACTCTTCCCCTCTATTTTCTTCAGGAAATAAGTCCTTTATTTCTAATAAGTGCTCACTGTGCTTTCTCCATGCCCGAGACAGCAGTCTGTTTGTTTACACCCCTCTACCGAGACTTCATTAAAGAACTTGCAGAAACACCATGAAAGGTTGTTAACTTTGGCAGAGGCTTCTTGTACTTCACCGAGATTATCTCTTGGATAGAAGAATCTGCTCGTGATTGTTATCCACCCCCAACCCCACCCCATGAAGTCATTCAGGAGGTTGGAATTTCTCAGAAGTTATTTTCTGAGGAAGGGGGAAGAAATACACTTTAGGGACAACCCCAGGGATAGTCTTAGCAGGAGGACCACAGCTCACACTCATTGGAATAGTTTTTATTTATTTTTATTTTTATTTATTTGTTTGGTTTTTTTTTTTGTTCTTGTTTTGGTTTTGGTTTTGGTTTTTTTTTTTTTTTCAAGACAGCGTTTCTCTGTGGCTTTGGAGGCTGTCCTGGTACTTGCTCTTGTAGACCAGGCTGGTCTTAAACTCACAGACATCCACCTACCTCTGCCTCCCGAGTGCTGGGATTAAAGGCATGCGCCACCACCACCCAGCTTACTTTTTATTTTCTTGAGACAGGGTCTTTCTATCTAGTCCTGGTTGTCCAAGAACTCTGTAGATCAGGCTGGCCTTGAACTCACAGAGATCCTTCTTCCTTTGCCTCGGAAGTCCTGGGAGTAAAGGCCTGTGCCATTGTACCATTCCTGGGTGAAGAATCAGGAGAATCAAGGTCTCCCGGGTTTCTTCCTTCCTTTTCTTTCTTTTTTCAAAAATTTCTTGTTTTTTTGTTTTTGGAGACAGGGTTTCTTTGTGTAAACAGTCCTGGCTGTCCTAGAACTTGCTTTGTAGACCAGGCAGGCCTCGAACTCACTGAGATCCGCTTGCCTCTGCTTCCCAATGCTGGGATTAAAAACGTGCACTCATCACACCTGCTTATATTTGTGATTTCTGTGAAGATTTTTTTTTCTTTTCTTGGCAGCCTCCATGTTAAACGCAGAAGGATTTGTGTCAGCCCACACAACCAGACTTTGAAGCATTGGATGAGAGTCTCCGAGGAGAAGAAGAATGGCAAAGAAAATCCCTGCCATAAGAAGCTGCACAGCAGGAGGGACAGAAAGAGTCACATCCAGAGAAATCATGGAAAACAGGGCCACAACGCTCCTCGTTAGGACCAGTGCGTGGCACTATGGAGATACCTCCACAAGTGAACTGGCTCATAGTTGGTCATAAGTTTGTCACCTGAATCTTCTTTATCGACACCCAATGGTGTTTTCTGTTGTTTTTGTTGATGGGTAGTTGCAGCTAAGGGTGTAAGTGGTAAAAAACCAACCCCAGGCAGCAAAAGCAAAGAACCAACAAAATGTGTACAAGTGACCAATAATATACTTAACTGAAAATACAAAATTCATCTTTATATATAAAATTTAAAGGGGCAATATAGATACAATTCCTCTAACATTTTAATTTAAGTTCTCCATTCCTACAGAGGAGCTGAAGGAACGGTACAAGGTTTATGTACACACCTGACACCTACATTAGTCACTGTTAGTGTTTGCTCTCTGTTTGTATGTGGGCAGGGCACACAAGTATAAGAGCTTTTCCACTAAATCATCTGAAAAGTTGCAAACATCATGACCTTTGTCTAGTCCACTTCCTGTTACTAAAACAACATTTCTGATTAGGTAACTTCTAAAGAATACAAGTTTATTTGCCTCAGGTTCCCAAGATGGGAAAGCCCAAGAGCTCGGCACTAACATCTGGTTAGCATCTGGGATGACCTTCTCAATGAACCTAAAAGTGACAGAGGACTGCATGTGACAAGATGGCCCAGTGTGCTAACTCAGATTCTTTTTCTTTTCTTACAAAACCACTAACAACATCAGGGAGACTACACCCATGCAGCCTCATTTACCCTCAGCTACACCCAATGGCCCATCTCCAAATGACAACTGTTGGGGAAGTCCTGTTATTTGTCAATAAAGCACTGCTGGACAATAGGAATCTAGATAGGTGGGACTAGGAGTCCAGGAGAACTCTGGGAAGGAGAAACACAGGAGAGTCGAGATGTAAGGCCATGGGGTAGGAAGCCCGGAACTTCTCCGGTAAGAGACATACTTAGATTAACAATTATGGGGTAATTACTTAAGTCAGAGCTAGCCAGTAAGAAACAAGCAAGGCCAACAGCTTCATAATTAATATACCCTCCTGTGTGTTTATTTGGGACTGATGCGGCTCTAGAACCAGGCTGGCGGGAAGGCTTCTCTCAAAGAAAAAGCTTCTCTTAACAAATAACATATAGGTTTAAGGATCAAGTTCCAATACATAAATCTGGAGAACACATTCAAGCCATAGCAACACTTCAGTCCTAATTTCTTTCTGAATTATCAGTTGATATCACCCAAGAATAAACAATTTTGCTAAATAATTAAGCTAGCAGTTTTATACCTGGAGAGTTAGAAATTTCATGTAGTCTATACTCAAATTTCTTTATCTCCAGATCACTTTATAATTTTTTTTCAGTTCAGGTTCACATATTGCCATTCATTTTATGTTGCTTTAGTATGTCCAATATAAAAAGTCTCTCAGGCTTTTTCTCCCCCCCTTTCATTCTTCCATAGCATGGACTTTTAAAGAGTAAAGGTTAGAATTTGTTTCACATTTCAGGTTTGTGTGATAGGTCTTCATGATCAACCCGAGTTTCCTCTATGGATTTGTATACTTCTTGATTCCTTTGTGGTTCTGCAACATCATTTTCTAAGAAGGAAAGGGTAAGACAAATAGCGCTTAGAGAGTTGAGTAGCTGCAATCATGCTGTAAACTTTAACACTAAAAAAGACACTCTGCCTCACTGCCCAGATACTCAGAGCAGCAGCAGCAGCGTTATAAACACAGAGTCAGTCCTGGATTGGTAGGTAATTTTGTATTGTTCTTAACAAGAATTCTTCTCTCTCTCTCTCTCTCTCTCTCTCTCTCTCTCTCTCTCTCTCTCTCTCTCTCTCTCTCTCTTGTGTGTGTGTGTGTGTGTGTGTGTGTGTGTGTGTGTGTGTGTGTGTGTTTGAGAAAAGGATTCATATAGTTCTCACTGATTCAGAACTAGGCTGGTCTCAAACTCACAGAGATCTACCAAATGATAGGATTAAAGGCATGTACCAGCACATGGCTCTAGAAGCCAATTTTTTTTTTTTTTTTGGTTTTTTGGAGGCTGTCCTGGAACTCGCTTGGTAGTCCAGGCTGGTCTCGAACTCACAGAGATCCGCCTGCCTCTGCCTCCCGAGTGCTGGGATTAGAGGCGTGCGCCACCAACGCCCGGCCAGAAGCCAATTTTTAAAAACTCCTAGTCCACCTCCTCCATGATTACACTGAAGAAATTTGTACACATGGTAAAAGCTCATTTCCATGACAACTGTTAGTACAGGGTCAGTTTGTCAGGTGTCCTTAGTGTCGTGGGCAGTCCCAGGCAGTAGTATTACTAGGATTACTTGGAGGGACAAATGGGACACAAAGAAGTGCTAAACCTGATGTCAGTTAAAATATCACCAGGTAATACTTTGTCCAATGCCCCTCACAGAAACTGATGTAGTTTCTTTAGGCTCAGAGACAATCCTGCAGCAATGTTTGGTGTCTGCTTTATGGATAAGGAAAGTGGAGGCTCAGACAGATCAGGTGATTTGCCCAACATATTACAGTAAGAGGCAGAGATGCTGCATCCAGATTCCTGGGCTCTTACCAGTTCTCCTTGCAGCCCCAATGGTGGGCTGCGATATACGGGCATGGGGTGAGAGAAGCAATCTATCACTGGTGTTCCCAGAGGGTGAGGGGACACATCTGGTTTATAGGATGAGAACCTCTGCCACCAGCACTGTGGTTGATGATTATTGGCAAAAGCCACTTTCATAGACCAAATTAGGTTTCAACATGGTCCGATGCACTTTCACATACTCCCACAGTGAAGGGAACTACAAAATACTAGTCTTTGGTTTGCGAGATTTTTTCCATCAGGTGTGCCTTTTGATCTGATCATCAGATTTTATCCAGAAGTGTACCAGTCTTCTGTTCAACTCTGGCATGCCCTCAGGAGGCAACCCCGAGGGGAAACATCTTTGTGTTCCTCTTGTATCACCATCATCATAGTAGGGGTCTAAATGCCAAAGAAAGCAGCACTAAATTTAAAATTGTAATAAAATACAAAATCAGAACAAAGAACCCGTTTTCACTTAGTCATAATAGGCATGTTGAAAAGTTAAAATGAAAACCAGAACATTGATCTTGAGCCTTTTAACTAATCATTTGAATCATATAATTTTTTCATTTTCTTTTTTTTTTCTTTTTCTTTTTTTGGGGGGGGTTTCGAGACAGGGTTTCTCTGTATTGTCTTGGAGGCTGTCCTGGAACTCGCTCTGTAGACCAAGCTGGCCTCGAACTCACTGAGATCCGCCTGCCTCTGCCTCTTGAGTGCTGGGATTAAAGGTATTCGCCACTAACACCCAGCTTCATTTTATTTCTACTAGTAACCCACATCATCCAAAATGTGATACAATTTGGGGTCACTACAAATGACAGTATGTGGGATACATTTTAAAAACTGGTTGCTATGGTTTGGGTAAGTGTCCTTAAAGACTTGTGTATGGAAGGCTTGTCTTTCAACCTGTGATGCAGTAGGAAATTTGGAATATGGAGTCTAATGAGCAAGCTTAGGTTCCTGGGGGTGTGTTCTATCTTTGTTTCACACCACCAGGAACTAAGCAGCTTCTTTGACCATTCGTTTCTACCACAAATTCTGTCTGCCATAGACCCAGGGGCCGTGGGGGCCCAACTAATCATGGACTGAAACTTCTAAACTGTGAGCTGAGAGAAGCCTTTCTGCTTTTTGCTTATTTGTTTGTTTGAGACAGGATTTCTCTGTGTAGCCCTGGCTGTCCTGGAACTCACTCTGTAGACCAGGCTGGCCTCGAACTCACAGACCTCCTCCTGCTTCTGCCTCCTGAGTGCTGGGATCAAAGGCGTGCGCCACCACTGCCTGCTTACCTTTCTGCTTTTTAAGTTGATTTGTCTCAAGTATTTTCTACAGATAGGTAAACACTAGTTACATTATTGTAATGTAAATAGTTAATATTTGGTATCGGGAAGACAAAATCTCTTAGACTACTGTGTGCTTTGTAAAATATTATCACTCTTATACTATGTACAATATTATATTGTAAGTACTCTTACTATACCATGAGTTACTATGAATAAGTCACCCAGGTTAACCTTTAAGCCTTATTTTTAACAAAATGTGTTCTTACACTTTATTAAAAGCTATACACTTTATTCTTTTTCTGAGACTTAATTCCTTGATTAATGTCTTTGAGGCTTTTTTGAAGTTTTAGTTCTCTTAAGGGATTAGTACCATAATTTCAAATGAAATAACTTAAAGTATCATTTGTTTGTGGATTTCAAGCACTAGCTATTGCCTCCTATTGTCCCTATATCCCTTCCTCTCTCCCTCCTCATCCTAGTTTATGACAGTTTTACTATTATTCATAAGCTTTGACTGTAAATCTACCTCCCATTCATTAGTGCATTGATCCTTCCTCTTCTCCTACTCACCTTTCAAATTCTGCCAGTTATGCTTGCACATTTATGTATCAGATTGGATACTACAATTTCATAGAACAATTATAATTGTCTTCATGCTTTAAGACAGGGTTTCCCAATCCTGACAATTCTGACAGCTTGGGTTGGATCGTTCTTTGTTCAGGGAGTTTTCTTATCCATCCCTTCTGTTCTTGTCTTGGTGAGTCAGTCACTTGAAGTCTCAGGGCTGCTCAAAAAGCCTCAGAGAGTCCTTCATTTGTACATGAGCAGCTGCTCACAGTTCTACGAGTGCAGACAACTGTGTTCATATCTACTGCAGGGATTCTGTGTCCTTCCATTGGAGAAGCACCTCTGGCCCATACAAACTAGGTGTCATCCAAATGTCTCTTGGACAGAGGGAGCAAAATTTCCTCTTTCCAGTTACAAACTACTCGTCTTAAATCTAAAGTGGATTTTAAAGCAGAAAGACAACTGAACTGAAGACTGTCTAAGATGATTCCCAAATTTCTTGCCCTGCTAGGCCTATACTGACCTATCCAGCGTAATCCACGTGTTGCAATGAAGGTAGTTTGTAGCAATCACTCAGGTCACAGATCAGTTGGCATTACAAAGGGGAGATTATCTAGGCAGGAATGGCTAAATCACTGGAGACCTTTAAATTTAGGTCTGAAGGTCAGAGACAGGGACTCAAATCACAAGGCATTCAAAGATCTTGAACAGGAGAAGAACAAAGTCCTAGACATCTTTGGAGACCCAGATTCTTAGAGGAATTCTGCCTGACACTGGGTCAGAACTCACATAGCAGTAATTGCTGTGTACACACTTTTCCCACCACCATCAGCTGGCACGGTTGGTGTTCCAGGTGAAGATGGCTACAGTCTGATTCTGAGGGTCCAAGACTGTGGTTTCTCTAGAATGCACAGTGAGTGATCAGCATTGTTTGAAAATAGTCAAATCCATCCAGTGGGGCATACTGCTGGTCTTGCTGAAATCTCCTACATGGAAGGTTCTGGTCAGGGGTCATCTCCCAGTGTGACATGTCTTCAGTCA